CTTTCAGATACATATGCTTGAGCCACGATACTAGTAGAAACGGTGGCAATGTAAATCAAATGGTCATGTTTTTTTGAGTGGTAGCAAAGAGGGTTTTTCTGATCTAAAAAAATTGAACTCAATGTTCAAAAAAATTGATTCATCGAATGCGACTACTAGAATTTGAACGTTAAATGATGTATAGCATGCGTTTTGGCAATGATTCAATTAGTATGATTGGAATGGAAAAAGAAGTTACTAATGCACATTTTGCTCGTCAAAGTAGTTGACTGGAAATGAACGGAAAAATTTTCTTCTTTGTTTTTTGAGATATGTACTATGATTTACGGCACGGTAAAAAGGTTTTTTTTCTTGCAAAGAAGAAAAACAACAATGTTTTGAATTTTGTTTTCAGGAAATAAGGCAGTTTCTGTAAAGTCTTTTTGACAGAAATTTTCTGCATTTTCTTTGCAGAGAAGTTATTTCCAGTAGAAGTTCTTCTATAACAAGAACTGAATTTACTTTCTAAAAACCAATTTTCGGCAAAGAATCATTTCCAAACATTATGGAGTATACCTGGAAAACAAAGACCAATTCAATAATTTAAAACAGATTTAGTTCGAATTCTAGATCAATCAAAATAAATTTATGAGTAATCACGCAGTAACTTCAAACGAGACACCTCTTATTTCCAGCTTTCACTTTTCGTTCTGATAATTTTCAAGTTTTGAATGAGTTTTCCTGAGAAACAAAAGATTGCGAACTAAGATTCTGTTCTGTAGAGAATTTTTCTTAATATTGTATAACATGAGCTACAAAATTAAGAGAATACAATGTTCCAAAAGGAATTTTTCGTCTCATCGACCCAATTACAGTAATCGTACAGCAAGACAAAATGCTCGCATCAGAAAAAGCAGGTTTCCAACAATTTTCGAATTTCATGGTCTAAAAAATCAATATTTTCTGGACTGTTCCAGGCATTTTACACTTAAGAAGGAGTTTAATTAAGAGAAAAACAATTACTTACCAATAAGCCACCCAACCATCTCGTACTTGTCCGCCACCAGTATGAGGCACTGTGAGAAAGTCGCCTGTGGTGCGTCCTTCCCTTAATTTTGCAAAAATCACAGTAGGTCCTTCAATAGTGCTACCGTATCTCCAGCCTACCTCAATCTACCATCGTAACCAACAGATGACCAGTATTCTTCACCTGCTAGTGATACTCGTCCACGGCAATTTCGCGACACTCGCGGTTGTCTTATCACTTGTTCCTGCACGGAAAAAGATTACTGTAGGTGCGAGTAGATCTTGATTATAGAGGAAAACCTACATTTACTCTGCTTTCACGATATCGCCATTTACAACGACCCGCTAAGGAAAGGCAAGAGATCGCTGAGAGAAGGAATACAATCCGCAAAGACATTTACTGAAATGACAATTGTAAAAGGCAGTTGGGCAAATGACGATTAACTTAACGTACAAAACTAGTCTCTTTCCAATCAGAAATGAAATTTATATGGAAATAAAATCACTCAAAAAATGATTGGTAATTTCAGGTGGACGAAGGATCAAGTTCAATTCAATACTGTAAAAACAGCGGATGTTGATTGTCATAGGAATGTCGATAAATCATATTTATGGAAATTTTGATTTATTTCCTCCATAATCTGACCTTTGGTAAAAACCAGGAACCATTTGACTCATTCGAGTCTCTAGGCGTATTCTTCTCTTTATAATAAAAGCCAACTTCACACAAGCAGTAAGCAGTAACGACCACTATTTTGCGCAATCTTAATTACGAATATTTTTCAGGAACAAGTTATCAAATTCAACTTTCTAGTCTAAACATTTACTCACCACTGACAAACGTCAGCATCTAAAAACCCTTTTTCCAAAAAATATGCGAACAACTTTTGCATGAATTTGCATACAATTTTGGGGGAAATGGTTGAACCTTTTTAGTGTTTCATAAACTTCTAC